CCACGGACCAGAGAGCCCTGGGTTCAGTTCCCGCTAAGGACACGTACCTCAGTTGCGGTTTGTCCCCGGCCCCTGTTGGGGTCATGTGGGTGGCAGCCACTCGATGTGTCTCTCTCACATTGATGTTTCTCTCTCCCTCTTTCTCCCTCTCTCCCTCCTGCTCTATCTGAAGGTAAACAGAAAAAAATAAAAATAAATAAATAAATTAATTAATTAATTAATTTTAAAAAATTAAGACCAGAGCCTTGGTCTCCTCAATACTGATGCCTGCATGTGAGTTGCCTTTCCAGATAAAAATGAGTGGCTTCTATGGGCCTTCTTGTTAGAACAGGCCTTTTCTCACTTTCCCTGATGTGCACCTTCTCTGAGGCCCTGTGGTCTGGTAACTGATGTTCCAGCCAAGAGGCCTGAGTCTGACCAGGATGAGATGGCAGGCATTTCAGCCCTTTCCTGCCCGGTCTCCACGGCCTCCTAAGAGAAGGTCCTTGGGTTTTTCATGAAGAGCATGCACCGACTGCAAAAGTCCAGAATTAGAAAGCATGCCACTTACTTTGTCTGAGTGCTCAATCCACCACGTGTGAACAGGGGAAGGAAAGACCCATTCAGCTATTTCCTGAGGCTACTGATCACATCTGCACACGGTTCCCCTCAATGTGGAGCTTCTGGGCCTTCTCCACCCCAAGAGTCCCTATGTGATGATGGCTTCTCTGCCCCAAGTCCAAAATTTCTTCCACATTCCCATGTTTTATCTTTAAAAATGCATGTGAATGCCCTGGTTGGTTTGGCTCAGTGGTTAGAGCGTCGGCCCGCGGTCCAGAGAGGCCCAGGTTCGGTTTCCGCTGGGGGCACGTACCTCGGTTGCAGTTTGTCCCCGGCCCTGGTTGGGTCGTGTGGGTGGCAGCCACACGATGTGTCCCTTTCACATTGATATTTCTCTCTCTCTCTCTCCCTCCCACTCTATCTGAACAAAAAAATGGAAAAAATGTCCTCGGGTGAGAATAAAAAAGAAAAAAAACAAAACAAAATAAAAATGCATCTGAATTTCTCATTCTGACCTGTATTTCTCCATTTGTTTTAGTGTAATTCTTTCCGTCAAGTCTTCTAGTAAAATTGTCCCCCCAGGAACAGGCGCCACAGGCCTGCACCAGCTTCAGAGGCCCTGTTGGAGCAGCTTGACCTCGGTCCATCTTACCCCAAATCCTGCTCTGCCAGGGTTCAGAGAGGCTGGAGCAAGTGCTGCCTGGTGCCCTCATGCAGGCACCAGGCTACAGCAGCAGATCAGCCCATCTGCAGGACATCAACCCCCTCATCTCTCAATGTAGGAAGGCAAGCCTGAGTTGGAGCAGGCCCTAAAGGCCATGGAGAGCTCACACACGCCCCTGCACAGACAGGCAGTAGCTCCCCTCAGAACAGTGTGAGCAGTCATTAACCTCAAGTCACTCTCGTTACAGCCAAAGCTACCCCAGGTTAGCCCTGGCCCAGAACTTCATGACCCTTTGCCCTGGAGGTCACAAACTAGAGATTTGTGGGACTTGTTCACTTGGCTCTCAAGGTGTTATTTTTCCCCCCTTAGACTAGTTGCCAAATTCAACTATTAAAGGATTAAAAACAACAACAAAAAAGTCAGATCTCTAGCATCTCCTGAAAAAAAAAGTCTGAAGACCTAGCAACTGTAGCCCTGCCCTCCACTTAGGACAAATTGTGGATGCCCCCTCCAAAGGGCATGTCCTGCACTTTGCCACAATCCTACCACTCCCTATTGTCCCAGCCCTTAACTCTTCTCCCTGCCCACCAGGCCCCTGGAGGCCTCAGAGTGGGCCACCCTGCTGCAGTCCAACAGCAACTAGAACGAGAAGGGAACATGAAGTCCCAAGAAGTTAAATGACTTACCCTTGTTCAAAGAACCAGTTAATTAAAACTCCACTATATGGCAATTTGCTTTATATTTCACTAAGACTGATTCTATTTCAGAGCAATGTCACTATATTTCTACCCCAGCTTTTTGCAAGGGAGGGAAGGGAGCTGGGAAAAGAGAGAGAATGCTGTCCTTGCTTAGCCTGAAAGAGTACATTTACAATAGCCAGTAACTTCCTAATCAGTCTCCGGGAAGCTCATGGACCTTTGGCTGATACCGACTGGAGACCTTGAAGGGGTATAAAACCTGGCTCCTCACAGTGCCTGCCCAGCCTCGAAGCCCCTTTCCCAGTGCAGGTAAGGACTGGGACCCCTTGCATGTCTGCATTTTTGGGGACATTTTCCCAAATGCCCTCCCTCCAAACATACTCCAACTGCTCTACCTTCATCTGGGGGCTGGGATGGGTAATGTGGGAACCTGAAAACAGACAAATGGACAGACAGCAGGAACCAATTTATAACTGAAACTACCCCTTGTTGGCAGGGTCAGCCACCTAGTTGGCCACCCAGCTACACCCACGGGGCTAGAGCTGGGCTTGGCTAAACGCCCTATTTGTCTTTGGGAAACTGCTGGCGCCAGTTGAGTCAGATTAATGAATACCTTCAGGGTTTCCTTTTACAACATTCTCCAGAGAGGGGCATTTTGAACCTCTAGGTCACTGTGAGAATCATTAACAACCCCCTTCCACCCCCACCCCTGCCAGCACTACAACTGCCAACCTGACAATGAGCTTGAGCCATTGGACCTGAGAGAAGCTGTTTGCTGGTGTTATTAACAGAGCAAGAGAGACAAAACCGCCCTAGGTCCCGCCATGGAAACACCAAGACTCCCGGTCAGAGAGGGCTCCCTGACCACCCTTCTTCAACCTCTATCACATTTCCCTTTCTTCAACATCCTAGAAACATCACTTCCTAGCATGACTGCATTTGTTTACATGGGTATTAAGGTCCCCTCAACAAGAAACTAAGTGTCATGAAAGCAGTGTCTCATCTGAATTGCTTGCAGCCTTATCCTTGCACTTTAAGCACTGCTTGCCACTTAGTAGGTGCTCAACAAATCCATTGGCGGAGTAAATGAACAGGCAAATCAACAGTAGCCCACTTCTGGGAAAACTATAAAGTCAGGGCTGCCCAGCTGTCTCCTGGGCCACAGAGCTGGCCTGTCAAAGTGTCAACCAAAACCTGCAGCCACAACATACCAGGGGACGTGCCTGCAGCCTTCCCCGCACAGCAAGCCCGCACACAGTGGGCATCCTAAGAACGGGGCCAGCTGCACTGGCTGCCCGTGGCAGTGCTGTGGACCTAATTCCCACACTTTTCCGGGGACAGGGACACTGTCAGACATTTTAAAAGGTGAAACATTACAATATTTCCCTAGTCTCCTCCAGTAATAATCCCGCTTTTACCCTGTTACAGAAGTAGCTGGAGAAGAGGTTCCCAGACACTTGGCCACCCCAGGACTGTGCCGTCTGCTAATCCTTGAGTAACAAAACCAACACAGGCACAGCACTGTTGTTCCTCACCGGTGGTAGGTTCAGGGCCTGCTTATATTCTTCTTCTGGGCCTTTGCCGTATTTCACAATAAAAATGAATGGGCCCTGGCCGGTTTGGCTCAGTGGTTAGAGCGTCGGCCTGCGGTCCAGAGAGACCCGGGTTCGGTTCCCGCTAAGGGCACGTACCTTGGTTACAGTTTGTCCCCGGCCCTGGTCGGTCGTGCGGGTGGCAGCCACTCGATGTGTTCCTTTCACGTCGATGTTTCTCTCTCTCTCTCTGTTCCTCTCTCTCCCTCCCACTCTACCTGGGCAAAAAATGGAAAAATGTCCTCGGGTGAGGATAAAAAAAAAAAAAAAAAAAATGAATGGAAGTAATTCATGTACTTCGTAAAAGAACATTCAAACCCTGAAGGGAGTAAAATGAAAAGGAGAGTCACCCCGACCCCCCAACCCTGATCTTGCTCCCAAGAGTTGACTCCAGTAACAGGTTCTTTTTTCATTCCTCTCTGTGCACACCAAAAGCATATGTACAAATCCTTTAAAATAAACACAAGGCATGCTGTCCTGTACCTCACCCCCCTTTATATCTCCGAGGTCTTTCCTAAGGAGCAAATACAGACTGATTCAGAAAGGAATTTAGTCCAAGTTCATGGTCAGAAACCCTCCTCCTGTTGACTGAGTGCTCAGGTGAGCGGCCCCGACGTGGAGGAGCTGGTCCTGTCAACCATATGAATCTGTGACTACCAGAGCACTGTGGTTCCTTTCTAAACACGCGGTTTGGCATATTTGCTTTTCCCAGCAACCTCTGAGCCGCCTGGGCTCCCTACGGCTGACCCACTGGGAACACCCAGAAAGCACAGCCTTCCGGTTTCCAGGTTCCTGTGAGCACTCCACATCGCTTTCTGAGGCTCCAGGAGGCATGTCTCAACCACCCAGTGCAGAAGGAAGCACGGGGCTGATAGGAGTTACCCCTAGAACTCTGAAGGAAGTTCAGAAGAGGAAGCTGGCACATGGTCTCGCATTATACAATGGGGATGGGGAGGGCTTACATTTGCCTGTGACACAGGTAAGGCTTCACTGAGTTCTACGTTTCATGAGTGGCTATTTTACCAACAGAGCTTAATAATGAGTGTCCCAGGGGTATGGGGCTGTACTGGGCCCCTCTCATTAGAGGGAGGGACACTGGCAATAGAAAGACCCCCCCTTCCCTCCTTTCTGCCTTCCTTTCCTTTATACATTCAACACACACATACCAAGCAGTGACTCTAGGCCAGGCACAGTGCTAAGCAGGGGAGAAAGTAGACGAATCTCACAGTAGCAGAGAAAAGAAACACGAACACAATCACTGGACATTGTCCAGTGTCCCCATATCCCCAAACACATGGACAGGCTAGGGAAAATACTTGTCTCGAACACAACCATGCTCTGGCCAAGAAAGGGCCTGCTCCAGGTGCCAGAAATGAGAAGGAAACCCAAAGCTAAAACCGAGAGTTGGAGAGAAAGCTGGGCAGGCCTAGGAGATTGGGGACTAGCTGGCAAGCCACAGGGGAGGCTGGGCTCCCAGCTGAGGCCGTGGCGCCAGCAGACACCTACTTCAGAAGGTTTTCTGCTCCCGTTCTCATCCGCACGGCTTTCAGGATCTGCTGGTTCAAGGCAGCCCTCTGATTCTGCAGTTTGCTCCGGCCAGTTTGTGCAAGGGGATTGCAACCCTACAAGAAAAGGAGAGATGCCCCATCAGAGGTCAGCCACTCTAAAATTGATGGCAACGTTTAATATGAGAGAGAAGGATTTTAAAAGTAAACTTTTCTGAAAATAAAAGTAACAACAACATGGGAAATATGTAAAATACTGGAAAGTATAAAAAAGAAGATAAAAGTCACTTTGATAATACAATTCCAAAACAGCCACTGTGAAATGGTTTCTTTCCTCCCCATGTAGTTTACATACATGTTGCTATTTTCCACATTAGTGGCTGTGTCGGGAGCCCCCAAGACCAAACCCATGTCTAGCGGGTTGCTAGGACTCACAGGACTCAGCATGTAGTTTCATTCATGGCTAAGATTTATGACAGTGACTTAGTGAGGGTGCATAGCTGGATCACAGAAGCAAAGACAGAGGCGGAGTCTGGAGGAATCATTGCACAGGATTCGTTGCACTCTCTCTCCCCCATGAGGGGTCGGTTACACAGAGCACGCTCTTCTCCCAGCATTATGTCCGCGGTGTCTGCACCCAGGTTGGCCTGTTTGAGAATTAACGTCCAGGGGTTCAGTTAAGGGGGCTGATCACAAAGGCACCCTCTACCTAGCACATACCAAAATTCCAGGCTCCCAGCAGAAAAGCAGGTGTTCATTACAAGCCACATGGTTTATCACCAGTGTAGGCACAGTACACCAACCTGATCAGCGAGGGGGTGGAGGCAACACGCCAAGAGCCAGGTTCCTTGAGGCCAGGCTGGGGCCAACCTTGCAAGCAGGCCTTCCTAAGGAGAGCAGCCTCAGGCCTGCTACATTAACCCTTTTCCGCACAGGGTACAGAAAGGTTATCATGTTTTCTCACTTCATACTCTATCACAAAAATTTCCTTTATTATGAAATGTTCCTCAAAACAATGAGTTAAATGATTGTATAATATTGCTCCCTTTTTAAAATTTTTATTTATTGCCCAGCTGGTGTGGCTCAGTGGACTGAGCATCATCACATAAACTGAGAGGTCTGGGCACATGCCCAGGTTGTGGGCTCCATCCCCAGTAGGGGAAGTGCAGGAGGCAGCCGATTGATGTGTCTCTCTCTCTAAAAAATCAGCCTGGACCTGGCCAGTTTGGCTCAGCGGTTGGAGCGTCGGTCTGCGGTCCAGAGAGACCTGGGTTCGGTTCCCGCTGGGGTCACGTTCCTTGGTTGCAGTTTGTCCCCGGCCCTGGTTGATTCGTGTAGGTGGCAGCCACTCGATGTGTCCCTTTCATGTCAATGTTTCTCTCTCTCTCTCTCTCTCTCTCTCCCCCTCCATCCCTCCCAATCTATCTGTACAAAAAATGTAAGAAATGTCCCCGGGTGAGGATAAAAAGAAAAATCAGCCCGGACACATTTGGCTAAGTGGTTAGAACGTGGGCCCATGGATCAAAGAGTCATGGGTTTGATTCCGGTCAGGGGCATGTACCTCGGTTGAGGTTTGGTCCCCAGCCCTGGTCAGGGTTGTGTGGGAAGCAGCAGCCAATTGATGTGTCTCTCTCACATCGATGTTTCTCTCTCTCTCTCTCTCCCCACCCCCCTTCCTCCAACTCTGTCTGAAGATAAATAGAAAAATATCCTTGGGTGAGGATTCAAACATATATATATATATATATATATATATATATATATAAATAAAAACATATTCAAAAATTTTTATTGACTGATTTTAGAGGGAAAAGGGGAGGGAGAGAAACATCGCTTTGTTGTTCTACTTGTTTATGCATTCACTGGTTGATTCTTATATGTGCCCTGACCTGGGATCAAACCTGAAACCTTGTGCATTGGTGCAATGCTCTAACCAACTGAACTACCTGGCCAGGGCTGCCCCCTCTTTAGGATTTACCATTTCCTTATAGTTGGACAATTACACTGTTTCCAAGCATCTGCTATTATATAAGTATCCAATGCCCATTTGTAAACATGAAGCTTTATAAATTTCAAGTTTTTTCTTTAAGTACATTTCTAGAACAGTCTGATAGATTCTAACGTCAATTGTCTGCCTACTGCATGGGCCCGATCAGGGCCAGGGAACCAAACCTGCAACCCAGGTACATGCCCTTGACCAGAATCGAACCTGAGACACTTCAGTCTGCAGGATGATGCTCTTAACCACTGAGCCAAACCGGCCAGAGCAGAAAAGTATAATTTTTAGTCTTTGCCAAGTTGCTATGCAAAAACAGGTATCCTATTCTTCAAATTTGCATTTATTATTAGTGAAGGTAAATACCCCCCCCCCCCCCCCATATATTATTGATCACTTGAATTTCTTTGTTAGTGAGTTATCTGTGTTCTCTGTCCATTATTTCCTGGGATATTTGGATTACAATGTTTCATTCTGAAAAGCTTAAGATCTGAATAACAGTTTCATTTTAACCTAATGGTATTCTTCCCACCCAGCAGGTAGAAGCACTGGGATCTGAGTGGAGGCTCCATTATCTTGAGGTTCTGCTCACTGATGGGGCTGTGGTTACACCCTGGGAGTGGCTAGTGGGCAGTATTGGCGAAAAGACTGCCTTTTCTTTCTAGCTGCGTCATTACCAAGGGCAGCTCTGCACACACCTGGCTTCCCCTTGAAGGAGAGAGAATGGTTTATCTACAGCCCCAAGCTTCTCAGAGATCCCCATATCAGTGGCCTTTGGACTAGCAAGTCTGGAATGAGTTACATGTCTCCTTCCACAAAGATTTCTCATTCTCACTTCCCTGCAGGTTGCCACTCACCTGTCCCCTACACAACCCTCCAATTTCAAATTACACAGAGATTAAGAATTTGAGTTGGAATGATCTCACAGTTAACATCTTTCAAATTATTAAAAGATCCCTGATTCAAAATAAAAATCAGAAAACTGTCTTTTCAGCTATGATGAAGGTATCTTTAATATTAAGGTAATTTATTATTTTTTTAAAATATGTTTTTATTGATTTTACAGAGAGAGGAAGGGAGAAGAGAGAGATAGAAACATCAATTGGCTCTCTCCTGCACGCCCCCATGGAGGGGGGGGCGTCAAGCCCACAGCCTGGGCATGTGCCCTGACTGGGAATCGAACCAGCGACCTCTCAATGCATGGGATGATGCTCAACCAACTGAGCCACACTGGCCAGGCAAGCTAGCTCAATATTAAAGGGCTAAAATAATTGCCAGCCTCTTTCCTTTCCACTTCCTAAAATTACTACGAAGTAGTTCAATCTGACTCAAAATTACATGGTTCATCAAAGCTGTGTTCCATCTGACAGAGAAGGTTTAATGACTAATTTTTTAATGTACATTCTCAGAGCTGAGATAAGCAGCCATTCCAGCTCATGGATAAGAACTTTTCTTGCGTCTATACTTTATCCAACTTCTCTGGCTGGCTGGGAATTGCTACACCCTAACCAGCCCGCAGTTGTGGGGTCAAGTTTCTAGATAAGACATAGGAATGTTTAGGATTAGATTTGACTGAGTCATTGGCTCCAAATGACATTACTTCTTCCTAACAAGTAAGAATGCTAGTCCTGCTGGGAACACTAGAAACATCCATGGGGTTACTGAGAAACTCCCCAGGGCCCTGAGAGGTAAATTTGGGCAAGACAGTGAGAAGGACCCCTCTGACATCACTGGCCATCCATGTCCACTGGTGCCTGCCAGGGGTTCTCTGCTAGTGGAAACCCACAATCTTTGCCCACAACTTAGTGCTTGATTGGTTCACAACAGGATGTAGAGCTGCTCTAAAACTAGGGTTTGTGTCAGGGACCAGGGCAGCACCTGCTTGGCCTGGGAAGGGGGCAACTGAATTGTTCTGGCCTCCAGGGCCACTGTCTGCACGGCTTTCGGTGAAGTCAGTCTTTTTTTTTTTTTAAACAGGTCATATTTACATCCTTTATTTATGTTTTCTTTATTGATTTTGGAGAGAGGAAGGGAGAGAAAGAGAAACATCGGTGAGAGAACATCGACTGCCCACCTCCTGCTCACTCCCCACTGGGGATCGGGCCCACAACCTGGGCATGTGCCCTGACTGGGAATCGAACCAGCAACCTCTTGGTGCATGGGTCAATGCACAACCACTGAGCCACACCGGCCAGGCTGAAGTGAGTCTTTTCCTTACGTGGGGTCTGTCAGTTCCCTTACCAGACTAAAGTTTGGGCACTTGCATTAGTTTCAGAAAGTGAAAGAATGGTCCAACAGCCAACACTCAAGGGCAAGTACTGAGCGCACCTGAGCTCCATCACTAGCTCTGTGGGCGTCTCCTATGTGTCAGGTGGCTGATGTGGACCTCAGATCCCACACTCTGAGGCTTAGAGGCTAAGTGAGCTACTCAAGACCATAGCGGCGCCCTGACCGGTTTGGCTCAGCGGTTAGACCGTTGGCCAGCAGACCGAAAGGTCCTAGGTCTGATTTCCAGTCAAGGGCATGTACCTGGGTTGCAGGTTTGATTCCCCAGCCCTGGTCGGGGTCATGCGGGAGGCGACGAACCGATGTGTGTCTGTCATGCGAATGTTTCTCACGTCCTTCCTGGTACTCTAAGATGGGCTGTGAGGCAGCCTGAGCAGCAGAATGTGTGGAATGTGTGGGAATGCTGGGACAGCTTGCTTGCCCATCCCCAGCCACCCCTCACATGCTCCCTGGCTGAGGGTTGCCCAGCATCACTGCACATCCTTGGGACATAGTGACCTGTGTCCCACTCTCCCTCCTCATAGCCCAGGATAGTCAGGCATGGTAAATCTATATTCCTACCCCTCCCTTCCAAGAGGAAGAACCTCTGACTCATGCCTGGCCATTTGGAAAATCAAAGGCCCCTGGCCTTTAAATTGGTTCAGGGGGAGCACCTGACACTGCACAATCAGAACCCCTCAGGCTTCATTTCCCCCATTAGCTGTGAATCTAGGGGGATGTTAGACCAGGCAGCTGTAGCTACCTCACCATAGCAGGGGAGTGTCTTCTCAGAAATGAAGCCAATCCAGAGGGAGCAAAGCTGAGAAGCTGTCTTGATGGCAACATCGGAGCCCTA